CGCACCCGACGTTGTGTCCGTTCGCCTGCTTGCCCACGCGCCCAACACTGTGACCTGACGCACGGAGGGAATGACCGGACGCGCCACCAACGTGGCGTCCGATCACTTCCAGAGAGCTCCCCGAGCGCCCTTTTCTTGACCTGACACGTCCGAGAGTGCATGACCGGACTCGGCCCTAAGTCCGGTCCTCACAGCCACAACACGCAAACAGTTTTGATGCCACGTCACCATACGTTAGACACGACCGGACGTGGCCACTGCCCATCAAGTCACCACTTCGCGCAAGTGTTCGGTCACATGGCCGAGACCGCACCCTCTCTGGAACACATGACCAGACGCGCAGGTCCAGCCAAGGTCCTACGTCCGGTCACTATTTCACAGTGATAAACACCTCATTTACTTCATCAACTTCTCCACCCCTACTCAAATGTGCCAACCACCAAGTGTATCACCTTGTGCACGTGTGTTAGCATATTTTTACAAACACTTTCAAAGGTGTTAGCTCTCCACTAGATCTAAATACATATGCAATGAATTAGAGCATCTAGTGGCACTTTGATAACCGCATTTCGATACGAGTGTCACCCCTCTTAATAATACGGCTATCGATCCTAAATGTGATCACACTCACTAAGTGTCTCGATCACCAAACCAAAAAGCTTCTATCGATTTTCACCTTTGCCTTGAGCTTTTTGTTTTTCTCTTTCTTCTTTTCCAAGTCCAAGCACTTGATCATCATCATGGTCACACCATCATCATGATCTTCATCTTTGTTCCACCACTTAGAATAGTGTTACCTATCTCATGATCACTTTGATAAACTAGGTTAGCACTTAGGATTTTATCAATTCACCAAAACCAAACTAGAGCTTTAACAAACATCATATGGCAAGATGAGACATGCTGCATAGACAAGAGGACCTAGGGGGAATAGGGATTATTAGTACCAGACTCATAAATGGGTGTTTCATCATAGAATGGATCTCCAAATTGGTTAAAGGAACCAAGGCCATTTGAGGCAAACAGCTTATATAACAAATAAAAATCTATTTTCAGTCTACGGTGAAAGGGTCTTCTCAATTTTCGCAAGGCCTACATAAGATTAAACAGATGTTGGGATGACACTTGGTTGGGTCATACCCCTTAAAGATTCAATTTCCAAACCTGTATTGTATCTGTTCTCACCCCTCTATTTTGGTTAATCAGGCTTATGGGGGTCCTGGGAGTCGAATTTTAGAAGGTGATTAATTGACAAAAAAAGAACGGGATAACTTGATTAATCCTAGAAAATAATGTGCACGATGATGTTTCTTTGGTGTGTGAAAGCTATTCGTTCCTACGATGACATGAACTATATTGTATTTGATCAAGCTTTGAACCTTTGGCCCACCAAATTGTACACCAAATTTAATGGATGACTGCAATTCTAATATTTAGATTGACTAATAATGATACAACACTCAACTTTGATACAATCCTTCTTTAACATGTTTCCACCTCATAGGCTACAATTCCTTGCCTGAACGTACATGTTTCTTGTAATGAAAATTAGACAACTTCTGGCCTAATAAGGAGTAGCTTTAAGCTTTTATGATCTTTTTATTTGGCACACAGACATGTAATGCTGCACATTTCTATCCTTACCTCGCGCCCGCACATTGCTCGGGAGGACTGCCTAGGACAGCAAGTGTTTGTGACGATGCATCCTTATTTTGTAATGTACAATGCTCCTTTTGCGTCTCACACCCTCCCCTACTTGCAGAACCTACTGACATCCTATTAAACTCCACTCTCTCGTGACCACTCCATATCAACACATTTGAATCCACTTTCCTCGAATGATTCATATTATTGAATCATGACAACAACCACTCGCCCCGCGGCAATGCGGGGAACTGACTAGTTTGTATGTACTCCTATAGTGCTCTTGGATATTTTTAGGGTGAATTGTGGCTCACGATGCAACAACTTGTCAGGTGGCTGCAAACTGATCGATTAACTTCTAAATTACTACTGTATGCCTTTAAGTTTAAAAAAAACTTCTAAATTACGAAGTAAACTAGCAAGATGACCCGCGCAAATGGCTTTTATTTTTCTAGTGTAGCTTATGTTCTTTTATTTATTTTTGTTTGTTTATTAATTGAACTTGTTCTAGCTCCATGTGTCCTGCATTTATTGGCATAAACTTTATATAGCTATCGTCGAACAATTTCTTGACTTAAAGTTATCGTTGTCTCTCTTCTATTCCTTTTTTTCCACTCCTTTTTTTTTCAAAAGTCAACAGGGGAGGCCCCTACCTATATTTTTGTATATATGTAAAAGAATGTATGTACAGAGAAGTTACAAGGCTTTCAGAGCCAAAGAGAAAAAGACGAATTAAATAAGGCTATCTCTCCAAGTGGATAAAAGGCTACTAGTTTTCCTATTAGCTTTGATACAAACCAAGCCAATTTCTTCATTGAAGGCAATCCTCCAAGCCTGAAGATTTGCATTTTTGTTGTCGAAGATGAAGCCATTCCTAACATTCCAGATTATTCAGCAGGCAGTGATCATGATCTCATAACGACACAACCAAGATAGCACAGCTCTCATTCGTTGTTTGAAGATGCTTACTCCCTTCCAAATTGGTAGTGTAGTAAGTCAATAACTCTCAATTCATTGTAAATATCTACCTTTGCTTTCAACTTAATAAAAGGACAGAACTCCTGCCATATTCGCTCAAAAAATTGGATAGAAGTAATGCCCATCTCAGATAAAGAGTGCTGCATAGAAGAGCACAGTACAAGTGTTTTGAGCACTATATTTTACCCATACACAGGTTTGTTCAGTTTGGATAGTACCTGCGACACCTTCTTGGAGCTAAATACGTGCTACATGCCCGTTCGCGAAAAAAAAATTTTGGCCTGGTTCTAGAAACGAACAAAAAAATAACAAAAAAATGGTAATGAAGTATAATATGATTGAAATGCAATCAAATTATTTTTTTAAAAAAATTATAAATGAGATACAGCAGGTTAGGAGGTAATTATACATACAAAGAACTGATTTGTTTAATATACAGCAAGCAGGTGCATAACGAATTGCCTGATGCTCTGACATTTCAGTTTGAATAGTAGGGTCCTGAGAACTTGACTGAATATGAATATATGAATAGTATAGTAACAAGCAATGCTTTTTTAACACATGATGACATGTAAAGCACAAAGGGCATTAGTACCACAATAATAAGAAAATGAAATTTTTTGATTTTGCATATGGAAACTAATCTGCACCTGGTTTCTAGCCATTTGTACAACAAACTGAACTATCTAACTGATATAACTAAATACCTAAGCTGTGTACTTAACTGTTAATGGAAATGCAGATCAAGGAACTATAAAAGGTTTTGGAAAATAGATTATTGCAGGACTCTCCAAGGAGACGAAGCGAGAACTCTGAGGTGAAGATAGCGGCACCACAGCGGGCAGCCGACGGGAGCGAGTCCGGGGACCGAGCTAGGCGGAACGTACTGGTGCCAGTCGGCAAGCGCCTGCTACCATGGTTGCCACATACCTGTTCTCGCTAGGGCTAACAGGCAGGGTGTGTCTTTGCGGCCGTAGCTGCGTACAAAGCAGAGCACGCGGAGGGTGGAGGCCGGCGGGCGAGGTCGCCGTGTCTGGCGCCGCCATTTAGCCGGCGCTGGCGCCGCTGCCCCACGCTCCATTCTGTCCGCCCGTGCCCCACTCGATTTGCCCGCTCTAAGTGCTGCCGGCGTTGCCTGCTCAACCCGTGCCTCAGTGCCTGCGGGGGAGAAGGGAGGAGGTGCAGGAGACGATGGAGCAGCGGGAGGAGGGAGACGCGCCGGCGCCGTGCTCAACCCGTGCCTTAGTGCCTGCGGGGGAGAAGGGAGGAGGGGCAGGGGACGATGGAGCAGCGGGAGGAGGGAGACGCGCCGGCGCCGGGGACGGGTCGTCCGCCGAGCGGGTTCGCGAACAATCGCGACCTTCCGGGTTCGTGACTTAATGGGTTGGAGACCCGCGACGAGCCCGATCCAACGGTCCATATCGTGTTTCCGCCGGATCCAACGGTTTGCCAGTTAACGGCTGACGTGGCCCTAGCGGGTGCCCGCGGTTTGGGTGCAGGATTCATATTAAGAGATTCTAGGGAAAGAATATCGGAAAGGGGAAAATCCAATCTAAATTGTTCTACAGCCTTAACTTGGAAACATATAATCGATCGAAATTCCAAAATGTCAGTAATCTTCATGACAAAACCTTAACTCCTTGTGTGGTTATGGCCAGTCAATCCCAAATGAAATGTTGCCCTGATTAAATTCGCTCTCTGTGGCCAGCATCATTTTTCTTAGAAAACTACTACTCCTAGCTGCTGGTAGAATTTAGGATCCTTTTGGAATAACGGTAAAAATTTCTTGTTCCTGTGTTTTTTTCTGTGAAATTAGATTGTAAAATTTCTATATTCCAGACAAGCAGCTCTTCGACGTTACATATGCTATAATCAATACTGCCAAATTAAATATGTGGTACAGTTCACATGACTTGTTCTTTAGCGCCGCCGAGCAAAGATATGGCAACTCCGCGACGCAGATGATGCTAGTCCACTCTTGCTGATGCACGGCATGACGTCTGCGTCGATGAGACTTCATAGTCTTAGCCACAGGCTATATATGCACCTCCTGATCCACAAGGAGTGGCGCCGTTGCAAGCGACACGACCTCTGATACTGAATCTGATAGTGCAGCTCAGAGCTCACGATCGCCCTGTAGCCGGCCAGCAGCCGTTTTACCAGCACGTCCAAGTGTCTTCAGCCACCCTCCGATCCTCCATGGCGGCGTCTCCTCATTGGCCTCGTGTAATGATGCTACCGTTCGCCGCGCAGGGCCATGTCATGCCCCTCATGGAGCTCTCCCACAGGCTCGTCGAGCACGGCTTCGAGGTCGTCTTCGTGAACACGGACTTCAACCATGCCCGCATCCTCACGGCCCTGGAAGGAGCGACCCCAAGATGCCAGCCATCGACGCCTCCAAGCTTCCGTGGATCAGCCTTGGCAAGAGCCCTGTGTCACGGAGAGCCATGATCCAGAGCATCATCACGACCAACCCGACACTAGCGCTCGCCGACACTATCATCTGCAACACTTTCCAGGAGATCGAGTCCGTGGCGCTGGCCCACCTCCCCATACCGGCGGTAGCCATCGGCCCGCTGGAGGAGCCCAAGTCAGCGGCGGCCGGCCATTTCTGGCCCCAAGACGAGACCTGCCTCCGCTGGCTCGACGCGCAGGCTCCCGGCTCAGTCGTCTACGTGGCGTTCGGGAGCTTCACGGTGTTCGACGCGGAACAGCTCCAGGAGCTGGCCGACGGCCTGGAGCTCACCGGACGGCCGTTCCTGTGGGGGGTCCGGCCGAACTTCGCCGACGGTGTCGGCGAGGGCTGGCTGGATGGGTTCCGGCGCCGCGTCTTCGGCAAAGGGCTCGTCGTCAGCTGGGCTCCCCAGCAGCGCGTGCTCTCGCACCCCTCGGTGGCGTGCTTCGTGACGCACAGCGGGTGGAACTCGACCATGGAAGCGGTGCGGCACGGCGTCCCGTTGCTCTGCTGGCCCTACTTCGCCGACCAGTTCTTGAACCAAAGCTACATCTGCGACCTGTGGGGCGTTGGGTTGAAGGTCTGCGCCGACGGGAGGGACATTGTCACCAAGGAGGAGATCAGGGACAAGGTGGAGCGGTTGCTTGGGGACGAGGGGATCAAGGCGAGGACGCTGTCGTTGAGGAGCGCGGCGTGCGCCAGCGTCGCGGATGGAGGGTCCTCGCATCAGGATTTGATCAAGTTAGTGAATCTGCTAAGAGAAAATTAGTCTTCATGTCAGAAATGTTTCAGAGTTCAGAGGTTTGGTGGTTATATATTCCACTTTTCCTATTGTGCAGTCGCCTGAAATCTGAGTTTGTTTCAGGCGACGCTCTATCCGTCGGATGTTCTCGAAGATCCGCCTGATTTGTTTCGGTCCGATGTCTCTTATTGGGTCAAGGCACCGGAAACCGCACCCGCTAACACCGCACCTAGCCTGGCCGCCGCATTACTCGAGTGCTCGACCACACTCCTCTCTGGCTCTCCCTCCCACCCTGGGGTCCCCAGATCGCCCGCTCCTCTGTCTCCTCCGGGTCCTGGCAGATGGAGCACCGGCTGATGGTGGTGGCGGCTGAGGGCTGGCGCATCCGCTTCTCCTTTCCTTCGCCGGCACCACAGTGGCCCCAGTGGAGGACCGGCGTCGTCAGCTGGGCAGCGGCGGTGGAAGCAGCGCGTGCAGCATCATCTCCTAGTGGCGTTGCTCCTCGTGGATCCCGCATCCCACCGCATGGCGCTCCGTTGAAGGTCTTCCAGAGGATCTCCGGTGATGCACTCTTGTATGTGCTCTGCTGCATCTCCTTCCTCTTTGTTGCTCTGTTTGCTCATGTGTGCAAATCAATCCCATTTCCTACATGAAGCGGGGAGGCGATTTCATCTGTGTCGAGGTTGAGCGTTCACTTGATTTCACCGACACGGATCTTTGTTGAAGCTCTCCGAGGAGCTCCGGGATGCCCTATGGTGCGTGGTTGCTTCCTGTCCTTCCTCTTTGTACCCGTCTTCCTCATCATTTGCATCATGTATCCCATCCCTTTCTGATGTGGGATCGATTTGTTTGATTGGTTCAATCTTCTAGTACTGGAGGGCATAGGTTTAGAGTTTGATGGTGTGATGTATCCCATCCGTTTCAACGATGTGGGAAAATCAGCTCTCGATCTGTAGATCGGCTATGCATGGATCATTTATTTATTCGCATACTTAATTACTAAAGCTTTGATCTGTTAGCTTGACATGGAGATGCTGCTGTGCTTTGTCTTTTTGTGACTCGAATTTGTTGTCTATTCTACATGATTGGCTCCCTACATTCTAGACATCGAAAGGATTTGTTTGGTCCAAGACGCATAATCAGACATGATTATTGAACTTCTATAGGTGGTGGAAGAACTCAAGGTGAGCCTAGCCCTTATGATGTATGTAGGTTCTACAACACAAATTCTAGCCATCTTGTTGACTGGATGATAGGAACCTTCTTGATTCAATTCATCAAAACCATCTCCAGATATAATCGCATACTCTGCATCTTTTGACACTCACATTTTAGAAAAAGGGTGACATTGTGTCATCTGACACTGCATCGTCTTTTGTGACTTGAAGCTAGAGCCTGCAGCTCTTATGGTGTATGTAGGTTCCACATCTCGTGGGTGAGGCTGCTAATTTAACCACAGTGTAAATTGTGTTGTGAATTTTAAATGTGATGCATGTTAGCCTTTGATGAAAGGAAAAGAGGCAGACTTGCATATATAGAGTGCAGATTCTGCGTAGACAGTTGAGTGCTTTAACTTATTCAGGTGGATGGGGTTTTGCCATTCCATGCCTCATTTGTATTTGTTTTCTTCCAATGTAATTTTTACTTTATCCCAGTTGTCTCAACCATCATGCTTTTACACATTGAGCCAAACCACAATCGATTTTGTCGGACAATGATTAGTTGTTGGTTGATTAACTTTATGCTAGTGCTTTGTGTTTTGTTAGCTCTTTTCTCTTTTACACTTCAGATATGAATTTTGTTGAGTTAAAGTTAATACATGATGGCATTGCATTTTGATTTGTTCTCGTTGATAAACAGTGAAGCTTGATGTGCAACCTGTGAACTGCGGCTTGTCTGAAACTTGTGGTTCAGGAGCAAACAGACTTTCGCTTCAATGTCACTTAATTCTTTTGGCTGGTTTGTGTTTTCTTCAAGAGCAGCACTGCTGAACAGAAGGTTGTCAGAGATATGCAGTTTGATTAGGCCTAGAAATTTCTAAAAACAGTTCAATCTTCAACTGTGTTTTTCTGAATTTGAGTTTACAGCTCGTTTTCATTCAGCTGCACTTGTTTTCAGTCTGTCAGGTCAATTTTGAAAGCGAGATAGCACTGTCTTTTTTGCATACGCTTTTCTGAAACTAGGAGCACAGTCTCCATTTGCTTTTAGCGTGAGCTTTAGAACTCCTACAAATTGGAGTGCTTTTGGTTTTCAAACCTTGGTGTATTTGTCCTTTCTTTTAGATGCTAGCTTCACCGTGATAAATGATTTTATCAAAATTCATCTACACATCTTGAATACAAAAAAAATGTGAATCAGTAGTATAGTAGCTAATTTTATCTTATTTGTGACATTGTCATGATATCTTGTGTGGCCTGCTATCTAGTATTTTTTTCATGTTCAGACGGCTTGCATGGCCGTCATGATATCTTTTGGCCTCCCCCTTGAAGTTTTTTAATCATGTCTAGCCGACTTTAATTTAGTTTGGACAATTGTTTCTCTACTCAAGCCTCAATCGAGCCTAAATGGCTTGGTTGATGTGAGTTGAGTAGCTTTGCGATTCGAGTTAATTCTAGTCTATTTGTCTTTGTTTACCATTTTCAAGTCTGAATTTTTGTTCTGTGCTTTTAGTTTCACGGCAACTCTGCGTTCGTGAGTCTTTGTTTCTCTCTCTTTTGCACAATGATCTGTAGAATTAGATGTTGTTTGTTTATGTTCGGTTTGATTATCTGGAAAGACTTGGGATGTAGATGTTATCTGTATTTTTGTAAGGGCAAAGATGTGAGTCTTTATCATTAATTGAAAAGAAGTAGTTGAACTGTATGTTTCACTTGTGAGTTGGCCAAGTTGGAGTCCTCTTGCCATTTCTGTGTCCTTTGTACATTGCCATAGGTGGGCGAGAAGATGAATGGTTGAAGATGTTATGCTGATTAAATAAATACGATGATACTTGTCTTGGTCATATAATTCTTAATGAATTCTTTAATAGTCGAGGAACCATGTTTCAGTTTGATATCTTGAAATTATTTTTCAGTTCATGCTTATTATCAAAGCCACCTAGAACTGCTATATAGTTACATTTGTTTTTATTCCTAAAATGTATCATGTTGGCTTATTGGAATCCTCACTCAACATTTAGTTTATGCTTGATTGGAAGGCGGTGTCTTAGAAATAATATGTGTTATTACTAGGTTTGTCAAGAATGCCATTTTTGACAGACTATATGATATCTTTTAATCGTGCTCTCATTTCATGTTAACATGCTCAGGGGCTGATTTCACCTATATGACAGCTATATGATTATTTCACATCATCACTATTCTTTCGAACTCACTTTGTAACTTGCCAAATTGTAGGATTGTGCTCCGAGGTCATGTCCCCATTGGCTTTGACAACGCTTGTTCTTCCGGGCAACAAGTTACCTTTCTATGGTTTTAGGTAATTTCCATAGCGATGGATTACGGTTTAAATCAAATTTGAAACTTTTTCTGTTACATTTTGTCATTTTTTCTCCTCATGTTCAAAGCTCGAGTTTAGAATATTGGTATTTTTTGTTGTCGTCTTTGTGTGTGTGGTCAACATTCGTAACTCAAAGATGAACACTCTGTATCCATCGAGGCTGATTCCTTTCATTTCTATTTTTTAATATATGTTTTTTGTTGCGTTTCAACTCTAGCCTACCCCAACTTGCTTGGGACTAAAAGCTTTGTTGTTGTTGTTGTTGTGGACTGGTCTATTGTTGCTCCTTATCGAGCCCGAAACCATCAAAGGAACTCGTGCTATATTATAAAATGCGCTTTGACTGACTTTTTGCAACTCAAATATGAACTTGTGTGTGATGTGGTGTAGTTACCTGTAATGTAGGCATCGGTTGCTTCAAATTACCGAGTAGCTATTGTGGTAATGTCCGCCTAAGTACTTGAAGCGAGGTTTAAAGTAGATTCTGATCTGTTTGTGTCTTCGATTGTCAAGCCAATATTTGTTGTCCGAGAAAGTATCCAAATTATTTTCACATTGTTTGTTGTCCTAAATTTGGCGCTCACATAGTATCTCCGTTGTTTTTGGTGGGAAGCTAGTATGCTTCATAAGCTAATAAATAACTTCATTATTTGTAATTAGGATTTAGTTGTTTAGGATTTCATGTTTTTTGGGTTGCATTTTGGCGTGTGTTAGTGTGTTTTTCGCTTGCATGCATGAGCGACTAGTGACCAGGGTGATGGTTGGAGCGAGGTTGAGAAGCGGTTGCATTATTCTTAACTGCTCTCACTGTTTTGCCGTGTGTGGTTTGAACTCTAGCGGCAAGCTCTTGTAGTGATTTACTTGCTCGTTTCCTTCACTTCTTGTTTTTCAGAAGAAAGTTGGGGGTTCATTGATATTATTTTTTGAACTTCAGTATTTTGTCCAATAAGTGAAATAGGACAATCTGCAAATGTGCAATGCATGGTTGCTCTGTCTCGATTACGGAACCGAATTCAAGTACTGCCCACGATCTTTTCATGATAGCCCTTGCCCTTCTTGTCCTTGATCATGTCATTAACATTAGAACAACACACAGTTGAATCTTTGGTCAATCATAGGTGAACATGTGTGTGCTCCGTGACATACACAAAATCGTTTTGCAGTGAAATCGGATTGTTTTACTTCTCCTTTTAGTTTTTTGTTGCCTTCCGGAAATCTGTTGTGGTTCGATATTTTGTAGGATTAATAACAATATTAAAAAAATTGTATGCACCTATATGGTAGAGCTCTTTCTTTACTACGTTGCTCATAAACCTTTGTCTCGGGGATCACCTCGGTTGTATCATTTAGTACCGCTTTCTTGGTATCAAATTATGTGTGACAATTAGTTGGCTAAGTAATCTTATCTATGCACCATATTTTTAGGGCCTTTAATTTGTACCACTTGTTTTTCTGGCCATTGGGAAGTAGGCAACTGGGTGTCGGCATATAGACTAGGAGGGAAAAATACGTTTTGTACTTTATTGGAT